CCTAAACCCTAAGCCCTAAACCCTAAACCCTAAACCCTAACCCCTAAACTCTAAACCCTAAACCCTAAATCCCAAACCGGAATATTTAGTTGCCTGGCCCCAGCGAGTGATATGCACTGGTTTTTTAGCAACACAACCTGCTTTTAGGGGTTTAGGGTTTCGGGTTTAGGGCTTCTGATTTCTGTGAGCTCTGATTTGTAACAGTTTATGGGATGCAACGAAACTCTAAGATCCAGCAGCGTGTCTCCGTCAGAGAGCCTCAAAGATACTCCGTTAAGCAGTCCTTTGGACCTTGGATGCTTTCCCTAAACCCTAAACCCTAAACCTTAAGGCTAGGGGCTAGGCAGAGAAGAGGGGGCATATGCAATTCAGGGGACTCTGTGACCCCTGGGACCGGGCCCTGCCGGTGGTAATACCGGCGACGGTGCAGACCACCCGGAATGTGACAGGATCAGTGGGTTCGGACAGAACTAGGGCTTTTACGGTGGTGGAATAGATGAAGGAAGCATTTTTGATAGCACCTTCCCAGTCTTCTGATGTCGCTCGTAACTCGAAGTATTTCGGATGTTGACAACAAGATGATTCCCTTGGCTGGTCCTGTTGTCCTTCACTGTTTACTATCAGGCCAGCAGCTGAATTTGTTTCACAGACTCGCTTACACACCTGGCCTCGTCGACCAAAGTTGCAGTTGATAAGGGCACCCCAAGATGGATGCCAAGACTCGAAAACATCTGCGAAACATTTGCCGTCTCTTTACGCCCTGAGCTGCACCAGCTCCTGTGCGCACACAGGCATCAGAACCATTTGTTCCCTTCACTTTTCCTGACATGCGCCATAGCTGCGAGGCCGCTGTGAGGAAGGCAGTGTAGGGTTTAGCTGAGTATCCAAGAACCTATTGTTGTAGGATTTATACCTTGTAGACTATAGTAAAGGGGTCAAACCCGCCCATTTTGTAGGTTTTGGGGTCGTTTTGGGGTCACAGGGAGGCCATGGGGACGACAAAATGAGACCCGACGACGTGGGACGCGCCCTTCGGTCGATGTGGCGGTGATGTTTCTTGGCTTGGCTGAAGCCGCGTAAGGAAGTCTGTCACAAAGCCCAGACATCAATTGTCCAACTGCCGCATTTCATTGCAAGCTCAAGCTTTCTTGCATGGGAAGGAGGGGCTTCGACAAGAGTGGAATTTGACCGTTTGTTTGGCAAGCAGCGCTGGTAAACCGTGCAGGTTATGAGGTTGCAGTCTACTCACTGCTCAGTGCTTCTTCGGCTAGGGTTTCGGGCACATGCCCAGCTTCGGGTTGGTTTCTCTTCAGTACAGTCGGGGCTCCGACGGGTTGTGGAATGACACTGACAGTTTCACTCAGAGCATACGGGTTAAAGTCGAAAATTTCGTTCTGGATGCTGTCACAAAAGGCTGCACAAGAAGGTCTCCGCAGTGCGCAACGGTACAGAGCACCGTTAAAGATCTTCGACGCGAGGAACCAATTTCACAGGCTGGCAGTTGGACGGGATCCGTAGTGACACCAGCAGACGTAACATTCGTCTGAGTCTTGAGGTGACCAGCTCTGTTCAACCGAAGCTCAAAGGGAGCTGTTTCAATCTGAGCGAGAAGGGAGTGCAAAATCGGATCGTTCCGTTGGTCGTGCGTGCAACCGAGAGAGCCGAGTTGAAGCCCTATAAGCCCGAATCCTAGGCCCATGTGTTTAGGGTTTAGGGGCTTTAAAGCCTTAGCTCCGACTGTCGCCCATCTGACGGGGATGCCCTCCAAACTGCCTGAAACCCCATGTCAGCCACAGGGTCTGGTTATGGATTTCCAACGCAGACTTCCTGCTATACCCCCTCGGCACCCCCCCCCCCCCTCCCACGGCCCATAATCTCACACCCCTGCCCCTTTACCGTAGGAGTGTGCTAGAATGTGCTAGAAGAAAGTCGTGGACTGCAGTTTCGCCGAAGTTCTCCCTGTCGACTGCTCCTCTGTCAAACCCCTGTTAATCCACAGCCCCACCTTCAGGCCTGCAGAAGGGGCGTTCTTCCTCTGCATGCATGCCTACCTGGATGAAGCCTGGCGGCAACAAGCCGCAAATCCTGAACCAAACCCTAGAAACAAACTAAGAAAACAAATCCCAAGGCCTATCAAATACGACACCAGAACTCTGACCCGAAACCGTGTTAAGTATTGGGACTGATTTGGTTTAGGGCTTAGGGTGTTTCGCAGTCAAGGAATGTCCAGGATCATCTGCCCATCTAGCTGCTCGGGCCGTATCTCGCAGGAAGGTACCCCTGCCCTCTCATCTCACGATTGCTCGCCGAAGCTCTTGTGGCAAGCATTCCTAGACCCCCAAACCCTTCAGCTCTTAAGAGGTCCTGTTCCGAAAATCGTATAATTCACAGCCTTAACGATCCGAGGGTTTGGGGTATTTACAGTTCCTTTAGAGGCCTCAACACGCAGAATCGGGTTCCTTCATAAGGGTTTTATACAGATTTTGGGAACATAGGGGCCTGAACAATGACCTATACTAGTTTGGAGGTTTCCTTCTTCTGATTATAGTATAATATACCGCAAAACCCTATTCTAATCTTGAAGGCCGCTGCATTAAGGGTTCCCTGTTTCGGGGTCCCTCATTTTTCGACACCTCCACCTTCTTTCGGCTTTGGGACGACTCCAGGTTCCGCAAAACCTTCTGCGCCCCTCCCCTGGGCCACTTTTGTCCGAGTGGAATCCAAAACCCTCAGCCCTAAGCCTCAAATCGTCAACTCTAACCTTAAACCTTATAAGCTCTAAACCCTTAAGCCCTTATAAACTCTAAGCGTTGTAGCCCTAAACCCAAAGTTTATGATGCTAGCCGACCCTAAGCTCTTACTGTAACCCTCAAAACCTTAAAATATGGCCGTCTACACCCGAAACCCTCAACCCTATAACGGTTTAGGGTTTAGGGTTTTTCTGTAACCCTCAAAACCTCAAAATGGCCCTAACTACACCCTAAACCCTCAAGGTATCTTTTCCGCAGCAGTCGCACCTCAACGGCCGAGCGAGGACCTCGGGCGCTTTTTTGGGGCTTGGTGTTTAGGGCTGAGGGTTTGGTGCGTTTTGGGGTGTAGGGTTTAGGGTTTTGGGGGCTATTATGTTCCGCGTATTACAAGGACTAGGGCCATCAGGAGATACGGTGACTAATGATTATGGCACTTATGATCGGCGTCTGGGGTCGCAGCTATCATCGCCGAACGATCTCATAAGTGTCGTTCCTCCTGTTTGAGTGGTAGTTCAAGGGCTAGTTTGAAGTGAACATCCTGCGCCGTGTAGTTTCACGTCTTCTCCAAGCTTGCGAGTTGCGCCTTCGGTGAGTGACTTTCAGGTCAAGGCGGTTCTACAGGCACATCCAGCAGGTTGTGTGAGTTGTGTGCATGATAATGCTGTCACGGCGCCCTTCTGCAACACCCGCAGTGGCTATGCATTCTCGATGAATGCTTGACTTGAGGTACGTAGTTATGCAGACGGTGGTCAGATTGAAACGGGCCTCATTAGTGCAGCGGTTTGCTTGACATGGGCTGTTCGACAAGGTGTCATCAAGTGCAACTATTCCGCATTGCCAGCGAACGCGAAGCCTCGCCGACCAACCTGCTTTCGCTACCTTTCGGTATAGGCCCACTTAAACCCCTAAAACCCGAAATCCTGAAGGGCGCATGGAGAGACTCTGAGGCCATCCGGGCTCTTTGCGCTCTACATGCCGCCGACCATGTGCTGAAGGCGCCAGTTCCGGGTGCTTTTGCGCCCTCAACCTCGCAGGCATTTCCAGGATACACGCGGATTCTGTGCTGGTGTGCAGCAAAACTTAACCTCCTAAACCCTAAAGCCGGAACCCTGATGAACAAAGCCCATGAACCATAAACCCTAAAGCCCAAACCCTGAATCCTAAGCCCTAATTCCTAAACCCTAAGGCCCAGCATCATTCACAGGTCGCATTGCATTGCGCTGCACTTTGTGACAAGCAAGTCGCATTAGATTCCTAAGGCCCAAGCCCTAAATCCTAAGCCCTGAATCCTAAACCCTAAGGTCCAAACCCCAAATCCTAAGCAACTGACATGGCCTGAAGCTCAAAGGGCGAGACCCCATCTGTGCTGGCCTCTCGCGGCCAGCGCTTCCTACTGAGAGCCCTTGGATAAGTCTTCCCCTGGGTTGAGCATGCAGCTGCGGTGTACATGATTTCGGTATACTAGCCTTTCTTAACTTATATTAGCCGAATAACATCTTAGATTAGTACAATGCCCCTGTGCACGAATCGCCTCCCTTGAATGCGTGGTGACCTGCAGTGGTGTTGCAGAATACTAAAGTCGGCGAATGCCACATCCAGACATGCACAGGCACAAGGTGAGCACCGCGCCGGCTCAGCCCCTGGTGCCGCGACCCGGACTCGGGATTTGGGGGTTGGGGTATACGGATTAGGGCGGCCTATCTCATCTGCTGCGGAAGCACAGTGGCGTTCGGCAGGAGCTGACGCAAATTCCAGCATGGATTCTGTATCTTCATCCTATGGGCAGAAGACAAGAAGATCACTCAGCACAGTAGATCTCATGAGATCTGGCTTGCCCAACCCCCGTCGCCACAGCCCCCGGAAGACGTCCGTGTGAGTTTCTTCGCAAAGTTTCTGCTACATGCAACATGAGCTTCCCAATCACATCTACAGCTGGCATTGTGCTCAAGTCTCTTGGCGTTGAGCTTGTATTGCCTGCATTGTGCAGTTGTGATTAATGATGTGTCTGTTGTTAGGCGCCCTCTTCTTGCACGACCTCCACATCTCTTGGTAGCTGCGGTCGTTGCTATTACGAATCATTGTCCCGGTCATCGTATCTGACGATGATCAAGGTAATCATACTCCCACTAAGAGAGAGTATTTTGACACTTCCGATGCGCAGTTCTGAGAGTTCATCAGTAGGAGGTTTCGATGTCGGCCAGGTAGCTCCAGATTGACAGCTGGGTGATTGGACCTCGTGTGTCCTCTGCCATGTTCAGCTATTCGAAGGCATGTGCGACAATCGAGCACATCACTGAAGCTGACGTACCTGTCCTGGAAGCACTCGACCAAGAGGAGCTGGCATGGCTTTTGCGAGTTTCTGCACGGTTTGACCACATGACTGCAGCGAAGGGGCTGCTAGCTGCTCGCGCATCTGTTAATCACATCACACCGCATCACAGTGCCGGCGCCTACAATGCTTTGCATGAAGCCTGCCGGTACAATGCCAATGTGGACATGCTCCTTCTAATGCTGCAGGCAAGAGGGGACCCTGACATCAAGACTAGGTGCAAGAACAATCCGAGAACTGCGCTCCAGATCGCTGAAGGCGAAGGTCACGCGAGCTTGGTCCAGTGGCTTCGACCACAAGCCCCTGCGGAGGCTGCCGTTCACCCCACCCCCAAGCCCATGCCATCCCAAGTGCAGGAGACCGGCTCGAGACCTCTGACCTTCAGCTTCACACAGGCTCACTTCTTACTTGAGCATGTCGCGGAGGAAGACTCCTCTGTGTTGACGGCTTTGGGCTCTGAAGAGACAGCATGGCTTTTGAGGGTTGCAGCAGGCTTCAACCAACTGACTGCAGCAAAGGCTCTTCTATCCGGGCGAGCCTCCGTGGATGTTATTACACACCACCGCACGGGCGGAGCACTGAATGCTTTGCAAGCAGCTTGTGTCTGGAAATCGAGCGCGGATATGTTGCAGCTTCTGCTAGAAGCCGATGCAGATACCAACATCAAGACCTTCTACAAAGGCCACCAGCGGACTGCCTTGCAAATCGCCGAAGCCGAGAACCATGATGATCTAGCTCGATGCTTTCATGATTTCTCCGCCAAGGCCCTTCTCGCTTCAACTTCCTTTCCGTCCTATTGAGCATCATGCATTCCTGTGAACAAGAGGCATCTTGCAGAGAACCCCCCCACCCCCCAGGAAACAAACATATCCAAGAGCTTCTATCCAGGTCGCTGCTCCTCACGGCTCCAGCACAAGATCGCATTCCTGGAGCTCCCGGCGTGCAGACAGCTCGAACGACTACTCTTGGGCTGGTAGAGCCTGGTTTCCGGTTAACTTTGAAACTTATTTTGGAGGGCTTTATTTCTGCTGTATATTATGAAGAGTTTCAAGGAAAGCCGGGGACTCCAAACTTCGTTGTAGTAACGAGTCGATATAGGGGGTCTTCTTCATAAAGGAAAGCAAAACAAAAGTATTGGGGTATCTGCTGGTGTACTATAGTGAGTACTCTTTATAAAGGCATCCTGAGGGCTTAGCGGCTACTACTTTCATCACTCCGGCCCCTCCTTAACAAGAGCCCAGGAGACGAGGGAAAAGCGCAAGGTACACATGATGAGCGCAGCCAGCATCGGAGCACATCTCGGTCGGGAGTTGATGCTCGGATCTGCCTTTCAGTATATAGCTCTGCCCGAGGGTTTCAGTTTGAAGAAGAATCAATCTCCACATTCCACTGGTAAGTACGGCGTGCTTTTCTGCGTTGGCTTGCTTTTGTCATGCAGGTGTCATCCGATAGTGTCTGTGCATCCCGGCCGACGCAGCGTTCGCGTTCTCCTGCACCGCAGACCGCACAGGCATCGAGCTCGAGCGACTGGGACTGGCGGTCGTCTGACGCGATGCAGGCTTCGAGCGCAGGGGACTGGTGGTCGTCGCAGAGCCCGAGGGCTCCAAGTCTGCAAATAGTACCTACTTTGGGCAAAGCCTAAACCCTAAACCGCAAATTACTCTAGGGTCTAAAGATTTTCATCGTACCTACATTGGGCTAGTCGGAGCCCCAGGGCAGTGATCAGACGCAAGACAACTGGCCAACTTCTCCGAATTCTGGGGGCTGGCAATCTCGAGACTGGTCTGGAGATGGCAACATTGAGGTTGTTGCCATTTCAAGAGTTGCATACCTCCAGAAACTCAGTGAGAAGTCAGCACATGTTAAGTGCTTTCCTCTGCCATAAAGCTTCAAAAGCTTTGGTGCTAGAAAGCTTGCGTTTGTCTTCTGTATTCCTTGTTTCTGTCTGAGAGAACAAAAAAGGAAAACTTGCACCTCGACGTTCAAGGATGGCCGAACGCTTCAGCAGACCACAGAAGAGCTCAAAACTGGACAACTAGATCCGTTCAGCCACGAGAACTTCATCTTGAGTGCCTTGAAGTGCAATGTCAGGCATGAGGGGAGGTGGCAAGATCTCTACTGGAGTAAAGACCACCGACGGCTAGTCTGCATGAGGCGAGCCGGCTGCACACATGTGCGACTGCGAATTGATCGAATAGAATCCAGAAAGTTTCAGCCGATCATGCGCAAGCTCATCGCCTCAGTTGGCCACAGCACTGACATCGAGGTGTTGGACACAGCCAGAAGATGAGAGATGGGCGCATCAGCGTGTGACAAAAATAAAAGGATACATGGTCACATGGTTTCAAAGGCCCACGATGTTTTCAGAGCCTTTTGTATTCATGCTGCAGCGCTCTTGCCGTACATTCAGCAGGTGGCTTCTTCTTTTCCCCCGGTCCACTATATTCAAGTCACTTCATCCAAACAGCCCAGAGTCACAATCTAAAACACAGCATCCAGAAGCCCCAACGTCCCACAACCCAAAGCGAATAGACGCCCCGAAAGGGACTGGCATCGACCAACGGAGTCGCAGTTCGCTGCCAGCTTGTTTATTCCTGTCGATGTTCGGTTACTGCCGTTGAAAAACTCCTGTTATTGAGATGACGATGTTTGTCCGTGGTAGTACTATAGCAGTAGCAGAGACTTGCCTCACATTGCCGCACGCCCCTAAACCCAAGACTCTAAACCCAACCTTGAATTAAATTCAAATCTCTTAGCCTTCATCCCAAACAGCTCTAAACCCTAAACCCTGAATCACTCCAGCCATGCAGGTGAAGCGGACCAGGGTTTCACGAAAGCCAAGGCCAGAAACTCACGCTGTGCAGAGCGATGAAGACCCAAACCCATCTGCCCAGGGCTTACTGTAGAGTTTTGGGGTTTAGGGGTTGGTATTTAAGTGGCGAGAAAGACCATCGCAGTTCTGCTTGAAGCAACAGCAGCGGTAGCAGTCGTCGCAACTGAACTTATTCCTGCCCACGCTTCCCGAGCCCCTAACTCAAAACCGTGCAGGTTTTGGTGCTGTGCCCGTTCCGGTCCACGTGCTATGACTTCGCCCCTCGTGCTGCATGTGAATGGCTTCGGGTCCGATAGTACAGGGGTCGGAATGACAACTGTTAGTATTCCCTCATCGTCCCCAAAAATCTAGAAAGGAAGATATACCCCCCGAACTCTGCACTTCGGCTTCAGGGTGGCTTAGGCTTGAGGATTTGACGCGGAGGTCGTTTCTAGCTATGTCGGGACCCTTGGGTTGAAGGATGTTGAATTCGGAGGTTTGGGGTAGCGTGTTCAGGGCTTCGGAGGCTTTAAGAAGGGCAGTGAGCATTTCTGGGGCAATGGCCTTTTTGGCAGCAGTGTGCCCTATGTCCTAAACTCAACACACCCTAGAGCCCAGACCGTTAAGCCTAAAGAGGTTAGAGAGTCTTTCGGATCTGAAAGACTCTTCGGCCGGCGAAGTGCAAGACAGAAGAGGTATGCAATGTAGGCTCTCAGGTCCTGTATCCACGAGCCTTTTATCTACAAATCAAGGGCTTAACTTGGGGTCCCTGCACTGCAAGTCTCTTACGATTTCGAACGCTACAGTACAGTCCTTTGCTTTCTCATGGAGGCATCGCGACGACTTTTTAGCAGAGTTCTGGGCTAGAGGTTTAGGGTGCAGGGTTTAGTGGGTCAGCAGATTAGGGTTTTGGGGACCCATCTCAGAAAATTTGTAAAGCGGGTTTGTCCCGTTCCGTGCGGACTGTGAGGCCTGTGTCGAGCTTGACTGTTTCGCTCCTTTCTACTGACTACTAGTTGCTATCAATACCATGCTTCTGGCTGAGAGGCCCACCTTGCACATTCGGAGAAACTCCCCCAGAAACCTGGGGCCCTGATGGTGACGAGTCCTCCTCCTCCTCCTCTCAAACATGTCCAAGACAGGTCAAGATGATGTTGGCCATGGTGCCAGGGAAGAAGCAGGCTCCCTGTCACCTGCAATTCAACATCTGCTGTTCGCTTTAAGGGCTCGTAAGAGCTTCGCAGCTTGTCTTCGCTGATGGTGCGGATCGAAGTGGTTAAAGCTTCACCTAACAGTTTTTAGGCTCGGAAGCCGAGGGCCCAAAAGCTTCGGGACGATGATGGACCTCCATGGTGTCGCTTTTTGTGGCGTGGTCTTGAAAATCTTACCACGCTCTCGTGAATGTACTGCTGTGCTTGGCCTCCTGATCCACATCCGCATTCTGAGTATCATCAGCATCAGCATCAGCAGCAGCAACAGCATCATCACCATCACCCTCCTCATCTTTCTCGCACCATCATCATCATCATCATGATCATGATCATGATGATGATCATCATCATCATCGCCATTACCATCATCGCAGTCATCATCATCATCATCACCATCATCATCATCATCATCATCGCCGTCATCATCGTCATGCACATCATCCGCTTCTTCAGCATCATCACTTTCTCATTGTCACTGCCATCTCCGTTGTCGTCAGCACAATCATGCCGTTGTGATGTTCATGCTCATCGCCGTGAGCATGTTCTTCGGTAGTGGAAGCTGTCGTACTTCGGAGAGAAGAATGCCGCTTTGCAGTATAGGAATCGGAATAACTACTCATATCATTCCTTAGGGGCTTGACAGTAATGCCACAGTGTACTCCAAAATCCTCGTCTAGGTGTAGGGTCCCTAAGATCTGTTGAAGACCCCGTAACTCCTTGCTAGAACCCTTCAGAGGAATTCATTTTGAAGGAACCCTTTGAAATGCCGTGAGGTTGCCAATCTGCAGAGGTTCGAAGAAGACTATGGCCCGGGTGACGACGAAAACTCCATGGTGCCCACCTCGGATTAGGATTTAGGGGTTTAGGGTTTGATTAGGGTTTAGGTGTTTCTTCTACAGGGTTTTGGGGGCAGGAGGGAGATGAGAGAAGTGCTGAAAAGTGAGCAAAAAGGGGGGGGGCCCAGCATCTATTGCCATCAAGCGCTCCAGGGCTTGGGGCCGGGATCAGCAAATCGGGTTCAGAGTGAGGGTAGGCCGAGGCTTCAGGGATCTCCGTGATCCCAGCCTCTGTGGCCAAGATCGCTTGACTGGAGTAGTGTTGATGTCCGTGGAACTGAGGCTTTCGTCAACACGAGCGCGAGCCGGGATATTCATATGTCTGCGAGTGGTTTTCCATTTTGTCTGATGATAGCCTTCCAGGCTTCTGGAGTAGGTTCCGTATCAAAATCAGACTTGGCGAGAGAAAGCCTGCCATACTCAAGTGTCCGATGCCATAGCTTTAATGGCTGGGCTTTCGGGAGCTCTGGTACCTAAGTACATAAGACTGGTGCACAAGCTGAAGACCTATGCCCTTAGCACAGACCCTAACCTCGATCCCATCAAGAGAAGTGTCCTCAACCAAGCATCGCTGCAAGTTGAGCACTCTGATTGGTCTAATAGCGATGTCGCAAGGCAGACAAGGCCGTGGACTACCAGCACTTGTTCGCAGGTGGGATGCCCAGGTCCTTTTTGAGGAAAAGATTATAACTCCCCCTAAACCCTAAACCCAGACATCTCGGCTGAGGACCCAGGCTCTGGAACGGCCCCTGGAATCGACAGGTTTTCAAAAAATCATAAGCAAGCTAGTCTCAAGGTTGGCAGTTCTTGAAACATACCAACGAACGCAACGTGCATCTCCGGGTGAAGGCTTTCCCATGTGTGCCATGCAGGCAACAGTGATGATCGATTTCGTATTGGCATCACCTTTTGGAAGAAGGCGCAAATCCCAGTGTTTCCGGTGATTTAGGGCTTGTCTACTAGTTGGAATCTTGTTGGATTTATGCGTGCGACAGCAGAGGCGTGGCTTTTGGCTTGCAGCGGGTACACTATCACGGTTGAAGCCCTATATAGCTCTGAATCTTAACTGAAACACAAAACCTCGACCTTTTTCAACCCTGAACACGCTGCATTTACATCTTCCAGGAGCTTCGCCTCAAAGGTCTGATTCAAACCCAGGAGCATTGTGGACTATGAGTTTGGCGCTGCTCGTGCGTGTGAGCGAGTGGTGATGGCCGTGTTGTTGTCATCCGTATCTTTGTTGCCGTTGCACCCGCCTCCTGCAGCTGCAGCTGCTGCTGACCCAGCGTTGTTGCTTTCGCGTGGGTGCACTTGTTGTGGCGATGGTAGACTGTTGTTATAGGCTATGTCACTGTCCTTAGTGGAATCTCTCTACTCCTTGGAACTTCCAGGGCATCCGTTTGTATGCGCCCTTCGACAAAGCGGACATTCTCGTCTGTCCGGGGCCAAGGGACTTCGGGTTCCGTTTTCCGAAACCAGAGAAGGACACCAACTCCTCTGGCCCCTACAGCCCCTACAGTAAACCAAGAAGCCCTAATGAAAGCGCGTCTGATTCATGGAGATGTTGTAGTTGAAATATTGGACAAATCAGAGGCTTGTGGACTTCAGGAATTCGAAATTTCGGCTTGGATTGCTGGGGTGTGTGCCTGGCTTTGCCTCCAGCAACCCACAGTAGCGTCGGCTTTGAAGTTTGGGACCCATAGAATTAAAGGTTTGAAGGGTATAAGGCATACAAAATATATATGTATTTTATTTATTTATTCTACATATGTCTATGTATGTACACATGCAGACTTCGGCTTAGGTTTGAGAACTCCAACTTCGATATCCTTTGCTGAAGCCTCTGCTCGTCCAGGCTCGCCGCTGGGCCTGCGGCAAATCACGGGCGTGGAGGGCGACAGGAGGGTACACAGGGGTCAGGGTGCAGGGTTGAAGGCTTACAGTAGGGCTTCGGGCTTAGCCGATGCTGCCAGCAATCGGTCGGTGCTGCCGGAAGACGGCCACGAAGGAATAGTAAGGGCGTTAGGATGGTGAGCAACGCGTGCATAGACATCTAAGTAGTAGTGATGACAGTGATGATGTCATTGATTTGTCGTACTACAGCCAGCAGGTGGCTTGATCTGGCGGTTTCGGACCAGATTTGCTTACCAAGCGTAGTTGGGCCTGTTGCCGTGCCGCAAACATCTGAGCAGTGTCCCAGCAGGGGTATGTCATCCGCACGAGTTCCTCGACAGTTTCAGAGAACACATAGCCCACCAGGGAAACAAAGACACCTTCACGCGCAAACTTTGCACACCTTCTTCGGGCTCTTGTCAAGGAGGGCATCGCGTTCCGTTTTCAAGTGACATGCTGCTTTTTTTTTCGGGAAGTGCTCGGAGTAGTAATAGGGCTACTTATCATACTTGGAGCATAATATACCCCAAACCCTATTTTGATAAGTATCAAGGCCCCCAAAACCGCCCAAAACCCTACAGATCCCTTCTTGAACCCGGGACCCGAATTGATTTCTAAGGCAACTATAGTATTCTTCGCGATGTTTTCTCGAGAGGAAGCGTGAATTCGACTTCCTCTCATCCATCGAAGTCTGCGCGTCTTGGACACAATGATCGGTTTCACTCCGTTCCAGCCGTTCCAGTGGGTTTTATGAGGGGTTAGTGGTTTTGGGGGTTTTTGGGCCTTAGGATTCTCGAACAAAGGCACGGCCTGTGTGAACAATTCTGACAGCTAAGGGGTTTAATTCCCTAAAGCCACAACCCTCGATAGCCCTAAACCCTTGGCAGTTCCAGGTGGTCGATCGCGCCGACGTGCTGCGTATGCAGAACTGGGAGCATGTCCAGGAGGCCGATGCACTAAAACCGTAGCTGTGTTTTAGGGTTTATGGGGTTTGCGGCTGCACTTCAAGCAAGGGCGGTGTTTAGGTGAACTAAAATGCATCACCTAAAGAAGTCCCAAAGCCCCGAACCCAAATCCTACATCGCACGCCGGTGTCGAACATTCACCCTGTACTGACTGGTAGCGGCAGCACCCACCCTCCCGCAGCCACTTGCAGCCTGGGATGTTTGCTGACATTTTCGTTTCCTATGTTCGCTTGGCCACACGGACCAGAATACGGCGTGGCTGCTCACGCTATTTCAGCTGTGCCGTGTCTCAGGTGCGGCATCAACCTAGGAGCGACTCGTATTGCTATCGCAAGTTGGGCTTTGTCTGGAGATCCAATTCAACTGCAGATGGTCAAGGGCACAACTGACAGACTCAATCCGACAAGCCCGAAGAAGGTGTCTTGCTCAAACCACCCCAATCCCAAACCCCCAGGTCATGCAAGTTGTCAACAGGAAGCCACAAGGCTGGCTTTGACAGCTTTTAGGGCTTGTTTCTTTCTGCTTTTGGAGGTGTTTGGGTTCGTCCATGGTGATGTTCTTGCTTGAAGGGCGCATCAAGGCGGAGGCATTCCTGCCTCTTGGGTATTCCCGCTTCAGTGTTACATGTGTTCTTCTTGGCGTAAGTCCGAAAACTCGGGTACAAGAGGCAAGAAACCACGCGGCCCCTGAATTGAGCTTCACTTCCAAGTTTCTGATACATCGGCCTGAGTTCTAAGTATTGTAGGATTTCCAGGGGGAAATAAGCTCTAGACTCTAAACCTAAACGTTTTGTTGGTGAGAGGCCTCGGCAACATAGACATCGCACGACTCCGCAGCGCCTATGCAGAGGGCCGTGCGCGGGAGTTTCGCCAGACGGCAGGCTTTGCGAGTTTGACTGTGCCTTGGGGTTCTTTTGGGGTTTAGGGGTGTGAACAAGGGGTTTAGGGGTTTGGGGCTTAGGGTTTTGATGCTTGGATGATTCTGAGTTAAAGGAGCATGCGGGGCGATGCCAGGTAGTGACCTCTTACGGACAATGCCTGGATGCACGGCCCTTGGTGTCAGCAGACTAGTCATACACTCCAGCTCCTTACTCGCAGACGCCGGCAAGTCGTCTCAGCGGCATTCTTCCCACCAATATGGAGCTAGGTTACCACCTGAGACCCTATAAGTATAAACCACACATATACCCTGGAATCAAGAGTCGTCTTCGTTCGCCCGAAGCACTGACAAGGCCGATGCACTTTTCAACCTGTCTTCCAACCCACCCGCTGGGCAAGGCTGGAGATTGAGATGATCGGACTGCCAAGCGCTTCAGAATTCAGGCTTCAGGGAGTTGCAGGGCTCTACCCTCAACCCTAAACCCTAAACCGCTGAATCTAATGACTGAGTTCATCCACGCAAGTCCTTGGCCGCACAAAGCGTTTAAGCTATGTCCGAAACTGCAGCATGCAACTCAAAAGGCGAAGAACAGGAACAGTCCAAGCCAGCACCTACTTGCAGAAGGTATTTTCTTGGCCCAAACTTATATTAAAGACTCCGTTACTAGCGACAGCTCCATTCTACCATGTCTTAGCTTATGGCGCCAAGGCACAGTCTTTGTCCAGCACAGAGGTTTGTGCCTCCGTGTTTGATCAGAAACCGTAAGGCTCCATGTACAGGTACCCATACAGCCTACACTCTGGCCTGAATGGGGCTCCTCTAGAGGTACTCTATAAGAGTTTAGGGGTTTAGGGTTTAGGTTTAGGGTCACAGGGCCTTAGTTTGGCCTTCAAAAGATGGAGCTTTTGGGAAAGGTACCTGCCTCGCGTCTCGGGTGAAAAGTTGGGGCTGGGACGAAGCTCGCCAGGTCCTGCGCTGGCAGGCAAAGGCCGCAGCCTGGCGTCGAGGCGCCACAGGATGTTTAATGTTTTCTCACGTTCCATGATTAAGCTTCGGGCAGAACTGAACGAAGGAAACGCAAACCAAGCAGCTCAAGAAAGGCTTCGGGCTCCGCAGCTGGGGCGTTCCAAGCGCGGAGGCCATGGGGATGGAGGGGTCCTTGCATTCTCTTTCCCTAGAAAGCATCAGGTTGTCGATGCTTTACTCTGAGGGTTTGTTTAGGGTTTAGGGTTTGGAGTCTGTACTTTTATTTGCACCCGTATAGTGTTTCAAAGCTGAAACTCTACAGCTCCAAAAGTTCCAACCTCAAATCCTCTAAGCTCTGACAGATTTCGGGTCTCGGGTTGCCCACAACTTTCGCCTCGGTACTGAAGATACTTTCGGGCTTTCATGCCCATATAATCCTAAACCCTAAACCCTAAACTCCCAAACCCCCGAAGCGCGGCCCCACACCCAAAGCCCTACGAGCCTCAAGCTGTCAAGCCCTATAAAGCCACGGATCCTCAAACAGCCTCGTCATCATAGGGGTCTGAGCTTTTCAAAGTTTGTCGACTTCAGGGCCTTTTTCAAAAACCCCAAACCCCAAAACCCTAAAGCCCTAAGCCCTAAACCTCAAACCCTAAAATTCAAAAACTTATCCGATCATAAGCCCCCCCCCCCCAAAGCTTCCGATCATTGCTCTTTTTTTCTGCCTCAACCCACGGATGTCCCGACTCCCTTCGTAAGTTTACCGGGTCTGAGTCTCTGGGAAAGCGAGGCTTAGGGACGGAGACCTGAGTTTGGAGTCTACAGAACCCGAACACCAAATAGAATGCTTATAAAAAAGTTTAGGATTTAGGGTTTAGGAAAACCAACTAGAATGCTTATAAAATGGGTTTAGGGTTTGGGGTTTAGGAAAACCAAAGAGAATGCTTATAAAAGGGTTTAGGGTTTAGGGAACCCGAAAACCAAGTGGAATGCTGAAAAGGGTTTGTTGTAATGCTTGGCCTCGAAGGCTTGGGCCAGGCTTCCTGAGCAGTTGCGTCTGGGGCTCTTGCAGCTAAGATCCAGGAAGGGTTGCTGTGGTCGCATAGCTTTCGTAGAGTAGAAGCCACACCTAAACTGAAGCCCTATACTCCCCAAACCTAGAACCAATACCCCTGGCCCCGAAACAAATCCCAAAACCCTGGAAGAAAACCTTAAATCCTGACTCTCCGAAACCCTCGCAACAGCTCCAACCTGCCCGGCAGGTCGCACTTTGGATCTCGACGAGGAGGAGCCCCGAATATGTATATATATATATACACATGTATGTATGTATGTATGTATGTATGTATGTGCATGTGTGTGTGTGTGTACACATACGTATGTAAATTAGTACTACTACTACTACGACGACGACGACTACTACTACTACTTCTACTACTTCTACTGTTAC